TGATAGCAGTGTTCCAATATCTCAGGGGCTGCCACAAAGAAGAGGGAGTCAGGCTATTCTCCAAAGCACCTGAAGGCAGGACAAGAAGCAACGGGTGGAAACTAACCAAAGAGAGAAGCAACCTAGAACTAAGGAGAAACTTCCTGACAGTTAGAACAATTAACCAGTGGAACAACCTGCCTCCAGAAGCAGTGAATGCGCCAACATTGGAAGTTTTTAAGAAGAAACTGGACAGCCATTTGTCCAAAATGGTATAGGGTTTCCTGCCTGAGCAGGAGGTTGGACTAGATGACCTCCAAGATCCCTTCCAACTTTATCATCATCATCATCATCATCATCATCATCATCATCATCATCATCATCGTCATCATCATCATTATTATTATTGTTGTTGTTGTTGTTGTTGTTGTTATCTCACAGGATCTGCCATGCATCCCAACCTCCATGATCAGTGATGAAGTTATGTCTTCAAAGGCATAGGAAGGGCCAATGGAGGGCTGCTCTGATTTCCAGGGAGATGATATTCCAAACAGTGGCTGTCACAACACAAAAAGGTTCTTTCTGGGTCCCACCAGATGACACTTTTTCTTTGATGGAAGCAGCAACATGTCTCTGTTGCTGGTCCTGATGACATGGGTAGATGTAACCAGCAAAGATGATTCCTCAAGTAACTCATGCCGTATATGGCTTTATAGCTCATAACCAACATTTGAACTGAGTCTGGCAGCATACTGGCAACCCATGCAGTTTACGGAGCAGAGGTGTAACATGTGCTGATCACAGAGTACCCAAAAATTGCAATGATTTCTGTGTAAAATTGATGACATTTTTAACTTTATTTTACAGCATTATGCTTCATTGTACAGACATGTGCGAACTGCAAATATAACAGTTCTGTGAAATGGTGCTTTTTGGCGGCATCTCAGGATTGCTGGTCAGGCAAAGGTGGGAATCCTAACTTCATTACTCTTTCGTTGTTAAGGAATGTTGAAATAAAGGGTGCTATTCTGGAACAAAACCACAATTCAAGTCTTTTCATTACAGAAGTACGGTTACCAATTCACACCGTTTGGGAAAATAGCCTGATGTTAATGCAACCAATTGTGAATTTCTATGATTTAAACCAAATGGAAGGAGGGAGTTGTTTTTGGAGGGCTCTTTCTCTTTTTTAGAAATACCTTTGGTACACACATTTTTTCCTTTCAAATGCCTTATACATATTTATTTCCTGTTAAGAAAGATCAGTTGGAAATTGACACTCCATTTTGTGGTAATTTGTCATTGAACTATAGCTGTGTGATTTCAGAAGGTTCTGAAGGTTTTCCCAAGTGTCTACAAATGTTAATTTTGGCAATGGCTTTCTAGATCCCTGGATGGAGATGCGGAAGCCTCCATTTAAAAAACAAAATACTAATAGGAGCATAGCTCAGCTGTAGAGAATTGTATTTATGTGCAGGAGATCCAATATTGGATCCAATATGAAGAATTATGGAAAGCATGCCTGGGAAAGAATGTGACCCCCAAATCACTCCAGAACAAATGATTTTGGGCTATTGGACCATTTAATAAAATTATCACTACTCAAAATGTTGCATAATCTGCAGGACCCTTATTTCTGTTGGAGATTATATCTCTTTGTGCTATAAGCTATTTGAACTAGATCAGGGGTAGGCAACCTTGGCTCTTTTATGACTTGTGGACTTCAATACCCAGAATTCCTGAGTCAGCCATGCTGACTCAGGAATTCTGGGAGTTGAAGTCCAAAAGTCATAAAAGAGCCAAGGTTGCCTACCCCGGAACTAGATGGATAAAGGGAAGCATTTCCACAGTTGTTCTCGCACCTGTTTCTCATCTAGCCTATTGTTAGTCTCTTGCTCTCTCTCCAAGATTTAGTTCAGATAGAAATGAGGCTTTTTTTGTATTCATGTATTCTTAATTACTCCAGCTTTTACTTCAGAGATGATAAAGGAAAAGACTCTTTAGTATTCACATGTTGCTGGACTAAACCCATGTTTTGCATCCAAGTCACTAGTATAAATATTTGCATTTTTGTTTTTGAGTGGGACATTCCACAACGCGATTAGTAATATTTTGCTTATCTTCAGGTGCACATCCTCCAGCAAAGACTTGTGCTGAATTCAGATCTCCAAAAGCTATTGAACCTAATAATACAAATAATAATAAATGCCCTCAAGCAACTTTACCAATAATTAAGTTAGCTTCGCATTATCTGTTTAAAGTAGGCCTCTACTATTAATCTTCAGAGCACTAGTATGGTGCTAGAGCTTAAATACATGGAATTCGGCCACAGAGAACATGGTTAAGATTGTTACGTATTAAACCAATTTCATAAGGTCTGTTATAAAAACGGTTAACTAAGTGGTTCAATTTAAATCCTTAACTGTCTGTCTGTATATATTGTAAGCCTGTGTTTTAGGCCTGAATGTTCGCTTTAAACTCATTGTCTGCCACCTAGTGGCGGTCTGTATAAATATAAATCAAGCGGCTGCTAGAGCCGCTTCTGTTGTGGATTGAATAAACAAGCAGTTACTTTCACTCCTGTGTCTTCAATGCCTCACCTTTCCCACTACACAACAGTGGCGACGAAGGTGGGATTATGCTGCTAGAAAGAAAAGAGCTGAAGAACCAAAGAGCTTGAGTCACTAAGGGGTAGGACCAGGCATCAGCACCCTGGTAGGAACACTACACAACAAAGATCATATTGGAGAAGTTGGATTCCTGGTTTTTGTGCACACACTAAATTACAACTCTATGTCAGTTCTATCAATAGACCCATACAGGTCTCTTCTCCTCTCAACGGGTTACCCTTCATCAGATTCTTCACTGGTTTCATCTGGAGAAGTAGCCTCTGGGGAAGAATGATGTCCAAAATGGCATAACCCTTGAGGGGCAACGTTGTCCAACTTCTTTCTTGTCCCACCGAAGTGGAAAGAAAGCCATCCTGGCAAGGATATTTCTGCATTTTTCCAAGAATAATATGGAGTTTCACAGTGGCTGCAGGGAGAAATCACCAGTGGTGTCTCTACGAAGGCAGACTCTGAAGAAGCTACTCTTCTGCCCATTCTACTGTGACAAACTGAGGTCCTCGTGGGCACTGCTTGAGTTTCATCTTCTAGATCCTCCATTTTAAATGAAAATCGACCTTTGTGAGCCTTGTGTATCATGCCCCACATTTTCTGTTCCAAGCAATTCACAGGGGACTGCACGCTGAATGCTCTTGGGGGCCATTCTTTCCGGGATGGGATGCACAATTGCATAGCTTTTTGCAGGGCATAGAGAGGAGATGAAGACTCTGGCTGGGAAGGAATATTCCAAGAATCCGGGATTTCTGGAAAGGCCCAGAACAAGCGGCCAGGTGGGATCTCCTGCACTGAGGTCTTAGTTATATATGAATAGAGGCAGAAGCAATCATCAGCTGTTGCACCCAGAGTTTGAACATCTCTGAACCGACCTGAAAAAGGAGCAGTGAGATGTGTCAGAGAGAAAAAAAATATTCAGATTGGAAAAGCACTAACTGCTTCTTGATCTTTCATATTTCACATATTGGCAGGTAGGACTCTGCAGTGCCCATTACCAATTGAGAGTAAACATATTGGTATGAGGACAAGTATTTCATTGTTTGCACTTTTATTTAAACAACGCTAATTTAATTTAACACTGTGTCCACCTTGGATGGTTTGGGCAAATTAACATACAGAAGCAACACCTGATTCCCATATAAGGTTAAATCTGGTGCTCCGCCCTGTTGAAATGATATTTCAGGTAACTCAAACTAATGGTAGCTAAAGCTAAATGCTTTCCTACTAACTGCTTGTATATCTTTTGAGGAGTATCACAAGAAGCCATTCTCCTATAACTTAGTTATATCCACCAAGTTCAAGGCTGATTTTATCTTAAAATTAATTACAGTTTGTATGATTAAAATTGCACATGTAACGATTTCCCTCTTCCCACCTTTCATATTAAAGACTATGGCTTGGGGATGAATTTGAGAGGCCTTGGGATGTACCGTCCAAAATTATACAGTCATGGAGTCCCAGTAAGGATGGGGCTTCCTCCCCAAGGTTTTGTGTGTCTCCACATCCTCCCAAATTGCTTCTCCTTTCTACATTATTAAATATAATCTGCAATCTCGTTGCAATCTGTAGTCTGCAATCTGTTGCTCTAGATGGCACAATGGGCAGTGTATACATTTAATAAAAAATATGTAACTAAATAAACAGTTGCATGGTGTTAGACAAATACTGAGGCACTTCCCCCCATCCACCCATTACAATTCCACACTTGCCAGCATCTTCAACAAGGTTTTTACTTCTTTCTTCCTGTCAACAGCCCACTACATTGTCATTTCTATTGTAATAAAGCAGATTACAATAGAGCTATACCATATAAATAGATATAGGAGCAGACTGGGAGGCACAGAGATACATCTGGGGATAATCATTTTAAAATTAGCGTTAAACCCTATGCATGCTTATTGCTTTACTCAAAGTGGGAAACACATGATCTTCCACATATTGCTGAACCACCACTTCCGGCTTCACATGCTATAGGCCAGTGGTGGCGAACCTATGGCACAGGTGCCAGAGGCGGCACTCAGAGCTCTCTCTGTGGGCATGCGTGCCGTCGCCCCAGTCCAAGGCCTTCAGTTGGATTTTATAAAACCTTTTCGCTTTAGGCCTCCACTGCTGTGTGCAAAAAAAAAAGGTTCAATCAATCAGTCAATTTCAATTTCAACTTCCTGCAGGGAAAAAAAAGATCTTGCAAAGTTGGAATTGATTGGTTGAACTTTTTAGTCCCACCCAGTCTGCCGTTACCACCACAGCCACGCCCACCCAATGGACCAAACCCACCCAATTGGCCACACCCAGCCAATGGCCACACCCACCCGGCACCTGACAATGCATAAATGGGTTTTGGGTTGCAGTTTGGGCACTTGGTCTCTAAAAGGTTCGCCATCACTGCTATAGGCTGTGCTGATTGGGGTTATTGAGAGTAGCATTTCCTCAATATCTAATCAACCATAGATTCCCCACCTTGTTCCTGAAGTGTTAACCTACTACCTGTTGATCATTTCCAGAGATGAGAGAGATCAAACTCAAGACCCTTTTCATGCAAAGTAGATGTTCTGCCATTGAACAATGGCCTGTTACTGCCAAAAAAAAGAAGAAGTTCTTCTCATCTTTTGGGAGCCCACTTTAAGGACCTCCAACCATGAAAGAGACACTTACTTACTAACATCAGGCAAGGATCCTCCATCTCAATCCTCTGGATCTGGGCTCTTAGAAAGAGAGGGAAATTGATGCCCTCAGCTTGGGATGGAACAGAAAAGAACCGATCAGGGATCCAAGTGGCAGCCTGTGCTAATTCCTCTGTGAATCCCAAGTTGCCAAGAATGGTCTCAGCATCAATCTGACAGAGGTGCAGCACTTCTGAAATGCTAAAGGGGAGATGATGGTGAGAGGCTGAATTCGGGGAATGATTAATCATTGGATTTTTTATTATTATTATTTCAGTGTATTTAATGCTTTTTCCTTCAATTTATCTCCACAATAAGAACACTCAGAAGTTATTTCATCTGGAAGGGAATAACTTTCCCAAAGTCGCTAAGTAAGCTTCCATGACTGAGACTGGACTTGAATCAGATTCTTCCCAGTCCTACGCCAACACCTCAACCACTACACCACATTGGAGGTCTTATACAAGCTATTTCTCTCAACTGTATCCTTACAATAGGTTGCAAGATATGCTTGTCAAAGAAGAAGCGATGGAATGTAGTGAGGAGGCAGATCCCAGGGAGGGAAGGGTGCATTCCAGGGGAATAAGAGACAACTCAGTCCAATATTTGGAATGAGAGAAAGAGGGTGAAGACAGGCCCTCCCTAATAGTTCTCAGAGTATATGGTAAAGGCACATATTAGAATGCTTTGTCTGACAAGATTCTATTTATAAGTGTGAAAACAATAAAAAACTCAGCTTGGAAGAATGACGCGTCTTTCTTGATTTTTGGGTCTGACATCAATATTGCCCAGACTAAGCACTCTACTATCTGCATCTATCATCTACTTTGATAGTATTAGGTAGGGGCTGTCTTCACCCTCTTTCTCTCACACCAAATATCTGGACTGTCTCTTATTCCCCTGGATTGCAGCCCCTCCCCTCTGGGGATCCATCTCCTCACTACATTCTATCACAGAAGGTTCCATAAGGTCTTGACTGTATCCTTGGCTAGTACTCTCCACTTATATATGATAAAAGTTTTTTATCCTTTTATTCAGGCCAAGCCCTCCACAAAGAAGCTTCAGGCTTACCTGGAACTGGTCTTGTTAGTGCTGTCTGCTATGTCATCAGAAGCCATGTTGTGATCTAGAACAAGATCCCAGACTTGGAAGGCCAGGCAGCACCTTTGGGGATCCTGCCATGAAAGAAAGACAGTGAAGAGAAGCCCTGGATCATCTGGCCTGAAGGAAACATTTGCTGAAGAAGGCAGATGGACAGGCTTGTGGGTATGTCAATAGCCACATTAAAAAAGCAAGCATTATCAGGGGAGGAAATGAGTTAAAAGAGAGTAGTAGGTGAAGTCAAAGCAATCATTCCCATTTTCATCAAACACATTGAATACCTGAAAAAATAAAATAAGTACTAAGTGTCAAGAATAAAACTTTGGCAGCTACGTGCCTCTCGTTTTGACTTGCCATTAGAGTTGGGGTGGGGAGGTATTGCTTTAGAAGTGTTTAGATGGAGAAATTAAATCTCTATGATTCCTCTGAAGACTGTGAGACCCTGAAAACATTTCCAAGGACACTGCTGCAGGTGTGGAGGAGAAGCAGATGGTTCCCATAACAAAGTGAAATTGTTTAGAGACTACATGAGAGAGTGGGGGTTTGGCCAGAGAGATTATTATTTAATTCTATGAGCTGGTGTCTGGGAACCTCACAGTTAATTTTGCTTTGACAATACCATGCCATGTATTCAATAAACAGTAAGAATTTTGGAAACAGAATGAACCTGGTCTTTTATTTGGATCCTCAAGCTGGATATTGACATTAAATTAACTCTCTCTAGCAGGCTACCTGGGTTTTCCTCCCAGGAGTGCTGGGACATTGTGAGATCTGTAATAGACAAGAAGACAGACAGAGGAGTACAACAGAGAGAAGCTCCCATCCTGCAATCATCGACTGTGACCCAGATGAGAGTGACAGACTCGTCAACAGCGGCTTGTCTGAAGCAGACAGCTGGATCGATAGAGTCACCACTCACTGCTGGAGGAGCGAGACCCACAGAGGATCCTTGTCCGGCGCCAAGAACTACATGGCTGAGTAGTCTCAGGAAGGCAGCAGAAGCTGAATTTCCACTGACTTTATCAGAGGCTTGGCCAACAAAGGCAACTAAGAGGGCAGCAGAATAGGGAGAGACGATGGAATGGAGGCTTCCTGTGCCAGCCCACAGCCCTTCCATGGAGCAATTGCAAGAGAAGTTCAGAGGATTATAAGTTCGAGGAGCTATCCCACTGGTCGATGGTGAGTCCCACTCACCCGCTTGCTACACCTTCTCCACCTCCTGACCGATGGGAGCTTCGGGCTAGTCTGGAGTATCAGGGGATGCAGAGCAGAGGTGGCTGTGGGACTTTAACCCAGCAGCTGCTAGCCCAACAAATTTTGGGACACCACCTGGCCATCAGGCAGCCAATAGGAGAGAAACTCAAGCAGCAGCCCTGGGAGCTGCCCTTTCATCTGGATATATACTGGTACAGGAGGATCAACAGCCTCCTCCTTTAAAAGTCATGTTTAATAGCCAACTGGAGAAGTTGGGTTACTTTTTGACCCAGGTGTAGAATTACTTAGAAAGATATGGAGGCAGACATCCCGATGACAGCTTGCATGTGAATGCTATTTCCGTGAACCTGGAAGGGGATGCCGTGGAGTGGTTGGTGTCCTTATATGATGAAGTGGCCCCAGAGCTCCAAGATGTGGATCCCTTCATGCAAGAGCTACAGAATCCATTTGAGACAAGAAAGGCAGATGTGAAAATCCAGACGATCAGGCAAGGGAAGCGAACGGTTGTGGAATACATTAGGGAATTTCGTAGCTTGGTGGCTCAGGTAAGATGGTGGCCTGAACACATGTTGCTCTAGCACTTCCAAGATGCATTAAACAAAGACTTGTATTACAATTGCCTACCCAGAGGGGTGCCCAATTTCCTCAGAGATTGGTACCTGTTGGCTACCAACATGGAATTAGATTTGATAGATTACCGACATCACACTAGTCAAGATAACCAACTTCATTGTGCAACTGTGTGGCTTCCAGTTAGCCAAGGAAGCAAAGGAAGTGTTCCAGAGACCAGAAGGGAGAGACCCCCTCCAGGTAGGGGAGGGTGTTTCAGGTGTGGGAAAGAGGGTCATCAAGCTGCGAATTGCCCTGCACCACAATTGATGTCAGCACTTCGAATTCCAAGCAAGTCTAGTACAACAAAGCCAGTATCTAAGTCCAAAGAAAAAATAAAAGTCACCCAACAATTTGTGGAGGTCTCTTCTCCATCCAGGGAAGGGGAGAGAACACCAACTCCTGAGAAGCCTGGACTTGTTTTCTATGAAAGTGATAATGAAGGGGAGGATGACCCAATGGTAAGTGGTCCTATTTCCTTGATGACTACCAGGGTAGAACTGTTTGTGCATTCCTCGGGAGTAAGGGAGACCATCACAGCTCCTCTGGACTCCGGATGCACAAAGTGTTTGGTGAGCTTGCAAACAATAGAAAAAGTGGGACTGCGGCTCAGGAGGTTGAGACCACCCATGGGGTTAGAGCAGGTAGATGGGTCCCTTATGGGGGGAGAACCTAAAATTTGTCTCACTGAACCAGTGGCTGTAAAGACTGGAAATCATATTGAAATGACTGAAAATATGATTTTAGGAGTAGCGTGGCTAAAGAAACGAAACCCCTCATTAGATTGGAATAACAATAAGTAGCGAATGAGGAATAGAGCAATCAATCAGCAAAAGCTGAAGGAAACACTGGCTGCTTGCCAGAAGCCTGCGGTTAAGAAATCGAAAGTGTTGTCAGCAATTATCCTAACAGCAGACAAGCAGCTAGAACACAGTGTGTGCCAGCAGAATACAAAGACTTAATAGAACTATTCAGTGATAAGGAATCTACATGGCTTGGGGCTAGGCTATTTGAAGGACCGCCAATTACACTGCTCAGCCCTTCAGGGGAGGAAAGAAAGGCATGTTGCAGGTCCCAACTATCGAGGAAGTACATCTGGTGGGACCTAGAAAAAAGGCCTTCTCTGTGGTGGCTCCTTCCCTTTGGAACATCATTACCCCAGACATAAGATTGCCCTCCCCCCTTGTTGCTTTTCCTCAAAACTTTAAAGACATGGTTTTATCAGTGGTCTTGGGGACCCCACTTGGAGCCTATCAAGTGGATTGTCTGTCAAGTGGAATGTTTTTGCCACCACAGGGTGGGGTGAAGGCTTAAATAGTGGGTTTTTAACTGTGGATATTTAATGTTGTATTCCACCTGGAGTCATTGGGTGTGAGTTGAGTGGCTATATAAATA